TCGATTCCTTCCGACCAGACATTAGATCGAATAGTTTTCAACGACCAAGATCGGATATGAATATTGCAAGTGGCATTCCAAAGTTTTTTCCATTAGCCATGATTCAACAAGAAGGAAATCCATATGTTCGAGATGACACAATGTTCATTAAAGTGATGGTTGATTTTGGTGATATGCCTAAAACGCTATTGCCTTATGCTTTAAGTCTCAATCCAGGATTACCAATGCATGTTCAACAGGCGATGATTAAGCAAGAAGCGGAGCGAAGAGTTCAACAACAGTCTGAATAGACACCAATGGTACAATTATTGTTCAATTGATAAAGCACTTAATCAATAATCAAGAGTTTTTGTTTTGAACTTATAATATTCTTTACAATTTAAAATATAATCGAGATGTCATCTTAACTTTTCGTGCTTATTGATGATCGTGCAGCGCTTGTCAGATTTTCGTGTATGGTAAAGTCATTTTGTAGTCGTATGAAAGAAAAATTGTCTCAACGAGAAACTTTTTGTGTTATAAACACTAAAAATATATTTTTCTAAAAATGGATAAACTATAGATAAAATAACATAATTTATTCAAGTTTTATTTAAAGATTAAAATTGTCTTCGAACAATAAGTGTATAGTTTTATGAAAATAGTTCAACACCTATTTAGGTTTTTGAGGAAATTTTGTTTTTATCTTTAACAGTTAAATATTGTTGTGATTTATGCTGCCTATGCATTGAAAAATGTTGGGTAGATTTTTTATCTTAAAATGTAAAAAACATTCATTCCGACTTAACATACTTAAAATCAAGTGTACTTTCTTTCATACGATTTTGTGGGTATGCGTGTGGGTGGGTGTGTGGATGTGGCTGTGGTTGTGGATATCTCTTCTTCTCTCATATTCACACCCTCAGCCACACCCACACCCTATTCTTGACGTATTTCCTTACTTTGATATTTTATTTTTAGATTTGATAATAAGGAAATTCTATTATCTTTTTATTTCAAAGCCATACAGTGCGCGGTCAAAAAAGCATGTACATTTTTGTTTTTACT